TTAACGTCCAGAACAAATTAACAAATTCAATAGGTAGGTCCGGTAATAGAGGTCAACTGGGTTGCAGGTGAGGAAAATTTGGACTGCCACGGGAAAATGAGGGTATATTGGATAGGGACAGAAATTTAGCCTTGCAACAGGCCACCTACGGACCCCTCAAATAGTTGTTGCAAGGGTCCTTAACATGCAGAGAGCGTGACACTCTACACGAGGCATCGGATTTAACGTCCCCATTCTGACCGGACGTGGCTGCGTACTTGATACATCCCGCGCAGCCAAACGGACGCCCCACTTTGGCAAGGGTTTTACTGATGGTTGGAAGAAGACCTGTAGTGACCATATTTCTATTCCCCAGTCACCCTTCGGGACTATTCACTTTTGAATCATTGCGGATAAAGTGACAAAGTTGCGTTACTTGCCCTGTGGATTATTGTGTATCAACACCCTATCGATAGTTTCGCAGGGTAAAGTTAATGTGTACATCTTTCTGGCAAATAAAAACATTGTATGCTTGCATGTAATAAATGTCTTACCAAGAAACTTCGAAAAGTGTGGCAACTATTTATTCTTTCTTTCTTTCTACAAGTTTTGATCGCATTTCTATATCGACGCACTTCTACAGTGTTAGATAGCTAATGCGTTTTATACAAATATACACCCGCACCCACTAAAACTTCGTATCAACAAAAAAACATGCAATTGATCACCAATTCATGCATATATATCTATATATATATTATGTGAAAAATTATATGATGATCAGGAGTACGCCAATTGGACAAATAAAAGTGCCTCAGGGAATGATACATTGTATCACCTACCTGTACGAGGTTCGAAATGTCAGTTGTTTTCCCGGTCGTTGGAAGATATGGTCGATTGTTCTGTTGTGTACATGCTGTAATTTCGTACAAATTATATTTTGTACAGGGTTTTTGTTCAATTTGTCAGTAATTTGACACACAACTTCTGTCATCAGGTAATACAAGTTTATCTCCAATAATTATCCAGTTCGATGTTTTACTCACAAATTTATATACTTCAACCTAACATTAAGGACTGTCCTCTATGTCATAAAACTACAAATAAGGACACCTGGTTGGTTTAGATTCTATTATTATTTTTTTTACTACTACCAAATTATATGTTCACAAAATATATTTTAGTGTTTTTATATAAACTTTGTGTCAATTCTTTGTGCCAGACTATAGCATATAACTGTGGAAATAAAACAGTAATAAGCTGAACCAAAACACTGTGCTTAATTTATCTGTTTACGTAAAGAGATTCACAAAATACTGATGACTTGTACAAAAATACTGTATAATTTGTACAATATTACAATTTGTACACTACATATATATAATGTGAATAAACTATGATGCTCAGGAGTCTGCCGATTTGACAAATAAAAGTGCCTCAGGGAATAATACGATTTATCCTTTACCTGTACGAAGTTACAAACGTCGGAAGAAATAGTCGATTGTTTTGATCGGTCAGATAAAATAGTCCTTCTCGCTATACCGATTGATTCTGCTTTCGAAATGGTAAATACATCAATAATGCTTTGATAACAAGTACTTGTTATATAGCCTTAGAAAATGCTATAGTAAATATAATGAATTCTGCCATTAGGAGAATATTAAGTCGGAACGTAATTTGTTTAGTGAATTTTAGTTTAAAGTGAAAAAATGATTGGACACATTCAACGTTAATAGGTTTCTGGTTCACTGTCTAGGCATTCATGAATTTTATTTCATAATTAAATAATTCGTGATCTAGTTTCTGATGAGTTTTGAAAAGCCGTTGCATTTTTTTGTAATTGATGTTAAGCCATTGCAGGGAAATGGATTTAAACGTGCCAATTAATCACTTCCGGGTTCAAGTTACAGTTTTCTTCTTAAAAACACATTAATATTGTAACTACTTTTTCATGCTGTCCGCTACAGAATAATATTGTTTAACCGCCTTATTATATTCATCAAACACCAATAAATTAATTTATACATTCAGTCAAATTTATACACACTTAGAAATTACTTTCGAACCACATCGTCACGACTAATTGAATATAATACTAAGTACTAGCAATGACAATTTTTTTCTGTCTACCTGTAGAAGTTGCTTATCAATCGTATACAATAAGATTTAATTTTCCGTCCAACGATTAGTGTCCTAAGTTTTCCAGCAGGACGTCAAATATTACATTCGTACTAACAGCATCTTAATTTTTAAGAAGTACCATAAAAGAATATAAAGTTTGGATACCGATTTACAATTCGAACACTTCGTACTAATAATGTCAAAAATATTTTCAACTTCCTGTGTGAAGTGGCTAAAAATAAATCATTGCCAACACACGAATGATTGGAATAGTAACGACGATGGTGGTTTTTAACGACCTTGACTTCTCATGAGGGACTTGCACGTTCTGCCAATGACCATTCGACGTTTACGATTATTTTATTAAATTCGTAAGAGGCGTATTGCATTACTTGTACATCGCAAAGCGGTAACTGACAAAATTATTTCTCCTCATTTTAATGAAAATGAATTTTATTATAGAAAATTAAATACAAATGATTTATATTAAGTGATGATAATTCGAAATAAAATAAGTTAATTTCAAGGAATCCTAAATTTTACTTTTAACCCGATCATATGCTTGTATGGTATAGGAATAGTTGTGCACACCACTTACAGGCTACCGGATAGAGGTGTCTGTGTCAGAAATGGTTTTCTAGATAATGTGGACTGTAAAATTTCACTGACTTGATAGACAACCAAGCCACCTTAGTTACCCTGATATTTGGGAGTAAAAAGGGGTCTGGTAAAGAACATTTGAACTTTAACTAAATAGAATTAAACCCTTAATTAATTCCGTAACCTAGACATATGTTGTTTACACAACAACTTTCTATCTGTACACTTGGCTTGGAGCTAAAATAAGTCAACACATAGTTTTTAAAATATAAGTTAATTGTGTAATATATTGATAAGAATTCTACTTTACAAAGAGAAATATAAAGTGACAAATTCCTAAAAAAAATAACTGCTATAATCCTTTTTCTCAAGTAAATTATATGGGAATATTTTACAATTATCTTTGAGAATTTTAACTAAATGAATTTCAAAAATAATTAAGAAAACACAAATTAAATATAAGACTTTAGGTATATCTTTTTATTTTTGCTGAAAACTATATTTTCACAAAATATTTGTTAGGTCTAAATTGACTATGACAACTCCCCCTACTTCAGCTGATTTCGTTTCGAAATTATGAACCTTGTACATCTGGAAAACACTAATATAAACGGTTCTATTTAGTGAAAAAAAGATCACATTATTCGGTTTTATACATCCTTGCAACTAGCTGTCAAATATTCGGCTTTCAGCGTTCCCGATGAAGGTAAATCCAGAAAAGCGCTTTGGACGCCTTTATTTATACGTGTTGTTTTCATTTTTATTAAACTTCACACATGAAAATATATACACATAAATACTAGTATACAAAAATATACAATCAATTGAGTCGTAAGTAATAAGGTCATCTAAAAATATTGCCCATTGCATCATTTGACAAAAAAAACTCGATTTATATCAGAAAAAAATGTATATCACATATAGCGATTATCGGAGATTAAACTTGCTGGGTTTAATACTAAATAGCAAATTATTGATGAGTTACTAGTACATACGCATTGAATGCTTGCATTAAAATCTTGTTGATCTTGCTGCGAGTGAAATATCCAATATTGACAGAAGTAGGTATTTGTACAGTTTTCATGGTTAATTTATTCTTATAACAAATGAGGAACATATAAAAAATAAGTTACTTCGAGGTAAGGCTGACACTGTAATGTCTTCCAATGAAGGTGTTGTAAAATCACAGTATGATGCACATACTGATAAGCTAATTATTGGAATAGTAACACCATCACCAACGGAAGTTATTTCTAAATAAACCTGAATACATTTGGAATTTCTTTTGCGATACAGGTATCAAACAAATACTGATAATAATATAAGTACAAAACAACTTAGTACAACCAAAGCATGAGGCCATGTAAATTCTGATGCCAGAAATTTCTCAACAGCATTGGTTGTAGGTGTTTCAGTAACTTTGTGGTAAATGAATGAGGATATGTTGTCTGATTTGCTTAAACAACTAAAATGGCAGTTGTCATTTGACGAAACTTCTAAAACATGAAAATAAGAAATAAACAATCAAAGTATGACTTAACATACAAAGGATTTTACAGAAAAAAATACGATAACAAGAAAACGAAAAAAAAAAACTTCCCAAAGAGAAAAAAAAAAAATGAAAGTACAAACAGAAACAAATTAAAAGGTGTAAGTAAAACAAAATGATATATAAAGCATTTGTCAAATTTTTCAATATTTTCGCAGAAAAAAAAGTACCATAAAAACAAAATGCTTACCTGAGCGAAACACTGCTTTAAAAATTTCAAGTTTGGTCTCAACTTGATAAGAGCATCTAATTCGTCTAACCCAAGACCGATCTGTTCTGCCGCCCAAACTTTGTTCTGAACTGCATTAGCCCTTTAGAATTTACACGCAGCTTAAAAAATAAAGATTTCCTGATCCATTTTGAATGAAAGTTTTCAAGAAATAAAAGTTTGTTATACAGTGGAAAAAGTAAATTCACTAAAATACCGAACTCGGAGGAAAATTCAAAACGGCAAGTCCCTAATCAAATGGCAAAATCAAAAGCTCAAACACATCAAACGAATGGACAACAACTGTCATATTCCTGACTTGTTACAGGCATTTTCCTATGTAGAAAATGGTGGATTAAACCTGGTTTTATAGCTAGCTAAACCTCTCACTATAGCATGGATTGCAACTACAGTTACCACTGTTACAGGTACAATGACTTTAAAATATATAAATATTCTTTCTCTGTTCATATTTATAATGATAATAGTGCTAAGTTTTATCTTACTAAGTTTGTCAATACATTACATATTTGGAGAAGATAATATGTATTCTAAGTTATCAGTCCGTGAAATTGAAGACATATTATAATCAATGTAACATTTTACAGTGTTTTCTATTTATAGGAAAATGTAAGTTAATAAAAGCCTTCATCAAAGAAAGAAAAGTTCGACACATGTATTAAAATGTCCTGGTTTTCTCTCATTGCTCATATTTGTTTACCCCTATTTAAAAAAAAAAATTCTCTTTCATCTTTCATGTAGTACATTTTCATATATTTATTTCAGTTTTGTTGGGTTTGTTGGTGTGTTTGTGTAAAAAGACTAGATGGTTTTGCAAGAGGGGTGGTAGGGGTCAAAATGTGGAAAGTGGCATCTTTCTTCCTATGCAGGAAGTCCCCAGTCATTTTAAAAATTATTAATTTTTTTCAACTGATTTAGGTCTTCCCTTTTCTTTCTTACAGTTATAACAATCGTATTGTTGATATCTATATGGATTTGGAGAAAAAAAAGGAAAGTTACAACTATAGATACAGATTTTGATGTGGTATATATTCAGACTTGGCAAAATTAAAAAAACTCCATTGAAATAACTGAATTTTAAGAATTTAAATTTCAGACTATTTAGAAGTCGTCCTTATAGTGCTGGTTACAATTATATACAGTGGGCGACAACTGTTAGAAATTATTCAGAGAAACCCTTTAATGCCACCCCTGCCACTCCCTCCTGCACAGCCAGTTCTACAACCAAACCCTCCTGCACAACCTGTTCAACAACCAAAGCCTCCTGCACAACCTGTTCAACAACCGAACCATCCTGTACGACAGCATAGACAGAGGAGAGCACTACAACCTATACCTCAGATAAGAAGGGGCAGCGTGTAAGAAGGCGTCCAGACAGATTTCAAATTTATGAACTGTAATTACAACAGGTTTATGTTTTAAATTGGAAAATTGTTGTTTTTTTTATATTTTTAATTGCTTACCTGTCATTTGCTACATTAACTATAACCTCCATTACCTGACGGCTAATACTGGTATCCATCCTTTTGTATATGGTAAAAAGACTTTCCAAAAACTGGTCGCCTCTCTTAAACAGGTGGAAGAACCACATGTGCCCCGGTGAATGAATTATACAGTGAAAAGTCTCAACTAATGAGTCTATGAAAAGTCTTTGAATGACTAGTGGAACACAGTCTATAAATTTATCCATTTCCTCCTTAAACATATTGCATGAATTACAAAGTTTGCATTGTTTCAATGCATCCAAGTGAAATGTGAAAGGAACAGACATTCTTAAAAAAAAATATTAATGGTTGTTTCAAAGTAAAATTAAAATTTGTCAAGTTATGACATCTTGGTTCCCATGTGAACATTTTTCTATATTAAATAAGATTTTCAAAGTAACAATCACCAAGGTTATCATCACTGTTATCTTAAAGGTAGATAAACAGATTCTACAAATATTAGTAGTATATGATTACTGAACACCCACAACTTTGGGGTCATAAAATATGGGAGGGTTACTTGGGGTCATAAAATATGGGATGGTTACTAAACACCCACACCCCCCACAACATTTGGGTCATAAAATATGAGATGATTACTGAATACCCACACCCCAACAACTTTGGGGTCATAAAATATGAGTTGATTACTGAACACCAACAACACCACAACTTTGGGGTCATAAAAAAAAAATGCATATATCGAAACACCCACAACTTTCAGCGCATGTCTTTTTTTTCTCAAAAATTGCTAAAAAATTTAAAATTTAAAAATTTTTGCTAAATTTCTGTCCCTATCCAATATACCCTCATTTCCCGTGGCAGTCTAAATTTCTCCGACCTTAATCCCTTAATCTATTACAGAACCCACCTATTGTATTTATTGTGAACTTGTTCTCGTCCTGAATATGCATGAAATATTTGCCACTGGACGTTAAGCAACCAACAATCAATCAATCAATCTTCTATTTCTCCTCTTCTGTTTCTTCTTCTTCTCTTTTTTTTCATTAGTTTGCTAAAAAAAAATTCATATACAATATTTAAACTCGTACAAAAAAGAATTTCCTTACTGTATATTTATCTCCACTTGTAAAAAGTTTGTTTTTCTTTTTATTTCTCAATGTTTTCTTTTTATTCTATTTCTCTTTACCCCCTTAAAAAAAGAAAGGAACAGCAACAACAACAAATGACTAAAATATCGATTTTATGATTTTAGTGAGTCCAAAATACTTTTCATGAATAACCTTCATTAGGAACATTCATCCTACGTACAAACATTGATTATCTAAGAGTTATGGGGATTGGGGGTTTTTGCACATGTGAAGAGTTACATATTCGACTGAGGGTCTAAAAAAAAAGGAAAAGAAAAAAACGAACCAACAATAAAAAAGTCATATGAATCAATACTTACCTACCTGAAGGTGGTGTCTTAAATATATTGTCCTCGTAGAATCCCTTTCCACGACTGTAAAAATAAAAAACAAGTTCTGAATATCTACAACTGGTTAATTTCCAAGTTTATTCTCGGAATGAAAATAAACTAAATACAACATTTTTTTTTATACCAACACGTTAACAAAGTGATCATTCTTTCTTTTATTTCTAGTTTTCAGTTTTTTGGAAGATAAAGTTGTATATAGTATTGTGTAAAATCATGAAAATAAGAAATAAACAATCAAAGTATGACTTAACATACAAAGGATTTTACAGAAAAAATACGATAACAAGAAAACGAAAAAAAAAAACTTCCCAAAGAGACAAAAAAAAAATGAAAGTACAAACAGAAACAAATTAAAAGGTGTAAGTAAAACAAAATGATATTTAAAGCATTTGTCAAATTTTTCAATATTTTCGCAGAAAAAAAAGTACCATAAAAACATAATGCTTACCTGAGCGAAACACTGCTTTAAAGATTTCAAGTTTGGTCTCACCTTGATAAGAGCATCTAATTCGTCTAACCCAAGACCGATCTGTTCTGCCGCCCAAACTTTGTTCTGAACTGCATTAGCCCTTTAGAATTTACACGCAGCTTAAACAATAAAGATTTCCTGATCCATTTTGAATGAAAGTTTTCAAGAAATAAAAGTTTGTTATACAGTGTAAAAAGTAAATTCACTAAAATACCGAACTCAGAGGAAAATTCAAAACGGCAAGTCCCTAATCAAATGGCAAAATCAAAAGCTCAAACACATCAAACGAATGGACAACAACTGTCATATTCCTGACCTGGTACAGGCATTTTCTTATGTAGAAAATGGTGGATTAAACCTGGTTTTATAGCTAGCTAAACCTCTCACTATAGCATGGATTGCAACTACAGTTACCACTGTTACAGGTACAATGACTTTAAAATATATAAATATTCTTTCTCTGTTCATATTTATAATGATAAAAGTTTGTCAATACATTACATATTTGGAGAAGATAATATGTATTCTAAGTTATCAGTCCGTGAAATTGAAGACATATTATAATCAATGTAACATTTTACAATGTTTTCTATTTATAGGAAAATGTAAGTTAATAAAAACCTTCATCAAAGAATGAAAAGTTCTACACATGTATTAAAATGTCCTGGTTTTCTCTCATTGCTCATATTTGTTTACCCCTATTTAAAAAAAAAAAATTCTCTTTCATCTTTCATGTAGTACATTTTCATATATTTATTTCAGTTTTGTTGGGTTTGTTGGTGTGTTTGTGTAAAAAGACTAGATGTTTTTGCAAGAGGGGTGGTAGGGGTCAAAATATGGAAAGTGGCATCTTTCTTCCTATGCAGGAAGTCCCCAGTCATTTTAAAAATTATAATTTTTTTTCCATTTTTTATGTTTTAAATTGGAAAATTGTTTTTTTTTTATATTTTTAATTGCTTACCTGTCATTTGCTACATTAACATATAACCTCCATTATCTGACGTCTAATACTGGTATCCATCCTTTTGCATATGGTAAAAAGACTCCAAAAACTGGTCGCCTCTCTTAAACAGGTGGAAGAACCACATGTGCCCCGGTGAATGAATAATACAGTGAAAAGTCTCAACTAATGAGTCTATGAAAAGTCTTTGAATGACTAGTGGAACACAGTCTATAAATTTATCCATTTCCTCCTTAAACATATTGCATGAATTACAAAGTTTGCATTGTTTCAATGCATCCAAGTGAAACGTGAAAGGTACAGACATTCTTAAAAAAAAATTATTAATGTTTGTTTCAAAGTAAAATTTAAAATACACGTTATAGAAATGATAATTCACCTGTCGAAGCATCTTGGGTAGTGTTGCAAGGTCCAATAACGTTCAGGTCACTTTGACCTTCATATTACGCTTCATTGACTCTGGTTAAGTTTATTGGTTATGTCCACATGGTATAGTAATGATACTTCAACCATGGAAGAGTCTTGGGTAGTGTTCCATGGTCCACTTCTTGGTTTTTGTTCATATCTCGGAACATAGACATGTTAAAGTAAGATAGCACCATAGCCCAATAAACACTCTGAACTATATATTATTACTTTTAATTGTCCTAGATTTTGTCTGGACTGGCTATACATTGACAGGGCTATAGCTATTTGTCTGTACTGGCATGACATTGACAGGGCTTTTTGTCTTGGTTTCCCCCTGATCCTCACTCTCTACATTGGACGTGTCTAAAACTAACTTCGACTTCTACTATAGGGGGTTCTTGGACCCCCCAAAATAAAATTAAGACCCCCAAGTTATATCATCTTACATAATCTCAAATGACATAATATGACATAATATGACATAAAATGATATAATATAGGGGTCATAAATAAATTATATGAATTAAAACACCCATTATGACAACTTATGACACCCACTTCTAACCTATCATGACGTCAAACCTATCATGACGTCATAATGCCATACATTTTTATAGCACCCATACATTTTAATGCTGACTCATCCTTTTATAACACCTAATGACAGATTTTTTTTCGCTTGTGAAACAGGTGATTAATTTTAACACTGACAATGATTAAACACTGTGTAGGCGACAAAATCATGAATCAATGATGATTGCAATCTTTATAAAATAAATGACTAAATACAATATTATTCTTAATTTATTGATATGTTCAATTACTAAACATTTTTTGTACTTTAAGGTACAACAGGCGATTTTCTATCTTATCACCATCTTTAATTTCTTTCTCCAATTTTTTTTCAGTTCTTTTAAATATGATGTTGTGGTAGTTCATTTTCACTTGCAAGTTCATTATCTTTTTATTGGTTATTCTGTCCACCTTTTCCAAATAAGTAATCTCATCTTGTTCATTTGATCTGAAAAATTATTTTAATATTTATGTTAAAAGGTATCTAAAACATGACAATGAAAATCACCTCTCTCTCTCTCTCTCTCTCAAATTTTTAATTCGATAAATTAATCCAACAATATTGTAAAACATAAAAAAAAAAAAAAACTTACATTTGTTGGGTATGAGGGTGTTGTTTCGTCCTAATCTCCACGGATGGAGCAAGTGGAGGTGGAGCAGTGTATCTAAATAATAAATATAAATAAATATATAATCCCAGCGAGGGAAGAACATAACATCATGTATCTTTTGGAAAATATTGTTTGTGCTGTATTTAGACCCCTCTAACATGAAATTTAATTGTTTTGCATGCACACGTATAAAAATTGCGGTTTTTATCCAACCCAATCATAGGTTTGAACGTTGTTTTCAATTTAGACTTGTATGTATATATATGTATATATGAGTATATTTAAATCACGACTGAATACAAAGTATGCATTTTTTATTGTGTGATAATGACGTTCCGTACTTCTATATATAGACTAAGTGTAATACGATTTATCTCCTTTAATATATACAATTTATGTAGGTGTATATGATTATTTTGTGGTTTGTAACTGCTGTAATGCCCAATGATGCCCAATCCTATCAGCAATCATACCATATCTCATTAATTTGATAAATTAATCCAACAATATTGTAAAACATAAAAAAAAAGAATAAACTTACATTTGTTAGATATGTGGGTATGTTTCCGTCTTGATCTCCACGGATGGAGCAAGTGGAGGTGGAGCAGTGTATCTAAATATTAAATATAAATAAATCCTATATAATCCCGGCGAGGGAAGAACAAAAAGTTGCCACCACAAATTTGCATATTTATCATTATTTTGCTGACATTAGAGGAATCATGAATATTATATATATATTACACGGGAAGTAAAGGAGAAGTTTTTTTATTTCAAAATTAAAATCACGACTGAATACAAAGTATGCATTTTCTATTGTGTGATAATGACGTTCCGTACTTCTATATATAGACTAAGTGTAATTCGATTTATCTCCCTTAATATACTCAACAACTATGACGTTACATACCTACCGTTACATAGTTACGTTGTATAGTTTCACCTGAAGATTGTTTTAAAAAAAAACATGAAAGTACTTGTGAAGTAAAACTATTTATACAGGAAATGTTGGATTTAATAGTAATCAATATATATTTCTATACACAAGAACTTATTGCATCTCCTTATTGCTTATATATTAATTTAACTTGTGACAATATATGTGAAACATAAAACTATAAAACTTACATTTTAGTGATGCTAGGTTTGGTTTCCATTCTATCCTTTTGTAGGTTATCAAGATTAAATATAGAGTACCACCATTAGCAATATATCTATATATTTATATATAAAAATGTCCTGTTTTTAAACAACTGTCTAAATTAATATTATATGTTGTTTAGTTTAAGGATAAATTCCAATGTCAGCTTGTAAACGTATTTTTAATTTTAAAATCCTTAAGGCATCCATTATTAATCAATTTTTGTGAAGTTTTAGTCAGATAAATTTCATCAATGAAATATGGTATTAATTTTACATGAGATTAATTAAAACAATCATTGTTTTAGTCTTCAGGGTACAAAAGCAATATGTTACCATTTCAAGACAACAATTTAAAAGTGCAACGACACAATTTTTAACAAAAACAATTATTATTCAATAAGTAATTAAGTTTTTATGAAATTGTTCTCATTTTAATAGTAATTGTTTAACGAATTTATTGAAAATACATGGACCATTTGTGTCTGAAATAAGAGATTATCTTATCTTATCTTAATAGGATTCCAATACAATAGGATCGAACAATCTAATTTATATGTGGCGAATAGGCCAGGGTCGAAAGATTATCGTTCCACAGGTACGCATGAGCGGCCATTTGCAGAAAATATGAAGACGTTTTTAGCGGTGATTGTTTTTACTTTGTATTTTTTGATGTACACAGATGCTTGTTTGCCATGTACAAAATTTGGAATCACGACAGAGTGTCTATGTGAAGAAGGAATATGTTTACACATTGAAGATGACAACATATACCTTGTCAAAATGACTGGATCGTGTAACTGTAATGTTACGTATATATCCAAATAATTCTTATATGATTTGCATATCTATAAATACTTGAAACGGATTGGTTAATTAGAATTTTTTACCTTGGTTTACACTTCGATAAACCATGTTTCTGAAACTACTTTCGTACCATCTATTCATGCGCGATACACATGCATATGCAGGGAGTCCGGGATTTTCAGCAAATTGAGATTGAAAAACAAAAACATAACAGTTTTTTTCTATTTCAATGCATATGTAACAAAAAAAAATATTGCATTAAAGCTCTGAAAATGCATAAAATTAAAATTCATGAAAAATTCCGCGAAATTTCATGAATGATTTAGCGCATTTACGTCATGGCAAAACACGACGTCATACAAATGAAAACTTTCAAGCGAAAGATTATTTCGTTACTTGTACGCTTCAAATTCGGATAATATCTCATTAAAATACAGTTTTTGAGGTAGGTGCTATTTCATTTTAGATTCTGTTGCATTTATCGAACATGTACGGATATTAGAAATTCAATATGGCGACTAACTCCTTAGTTACGACATGTGCATTTGATGGTAGTAGCCATCAAACAAAAAATCTTAACTAAAAATCGCGAATGTTTGACTGAAGAATTATAAGGATTAAACACATTTTTTCTAGAGGTTATTGATGTGTAAACCGGGGCTCTTACTCACAAACTTAACATAAAAGTCCTTCGGACTTTTATTCAGTTTGTGAGTTAATCGCCCCGGTTTACACATCAATAACCTCTAGAAAAAATGTGTTTAATCCTATAGAAACCCCCACGGGTCCAAAATAGGAACGATGCATCTTGTTCCTGGACATGTTCAAGTTTTCTTTGTTGCAAGTTTTTATAGAAACTATACCAATATATTATCTAACACTCCTCTGATTATAATAATGTTTTTAAATCTTACATGTAATATAACATATGTTTATTTCAAATACAGTTACGTTAATTTTGTCATCCATTATATAATTTCTTGTCCCGCTTTTTGTCCTACATACAGAAAATGTAGATGCAAACTATTTCATGATTGTGGTTGATTCTGCATATACACATTCTAATAGCTGTAATTACAGTTAATGATAAATGTAAATTTCAATCAGTGATAGTGTGTGTGTGTGTGTGTGTGTGTGTGTGTGTGTGTGTGTGAAACAGAATTGGAAAGTATCAAGGATATTGTGTTAATAGAAAAAAAGAAAGAAAAAACTGTCAATACATCATAAAGTATTCCTTCAAAATACAACATTTACAAAAATATGAATGAAATCTTGTGTTTATTTTACAGTTCCCAATAATGCAACAGTTACAACCAAAATAAATCTGTTACTTACCACACTGACAACAGGTGCAGTACCTCAAAAGACAGAAGCTACAACAGAAAAGACACCAATAACAACAGGAGTAACAACATCAACTATCACCATAGGAGAAGCAACAGACACAACACAGACAATATCCATGACAGTAACAACAACAGATATAAATTCTACCATTACAGGTACAAAAAAAAAAAAAAAATTGTATTACCTTTTTTGTACATTAAATTTTGTTGTGTAAAAAATAGATGTAGATCAAGATTTTTGTTTGATTTATGAAATACATTGTTGAAGTGAGCCAAGTTTGTAATGTCCATTGGCCAATATTTCAAAGATTTTAAGGACAGTGTCACATTATAAACTTTATCTTTCCTGTACCTTTTTTTTCAGAGTTCACCTCTATAATTTGAAAAGTAACTTGATCTAAAAGGTGTTTCATTGAGCAAATATTTATATAAATGCCCCAAAAAAAAAGTGTACAAAACAACACCAATATATATAAATATAAAAAAAGGAAACATTAAATATAAATATCTATGAATATTTTGGATAACAGATATCCTTTATCAGTATGATAATGATGTAAATTGAATCATATCAATCTATTCTGATTTAACTATAATAATTAATTTTTTTTTTATAGGATTGTGGATTTGGGCTGTAGTTTCCAGTGTATTCACTGTAGCTGCCTTAATGAAACTTATTCTTCAACTGCGAAAACAACAGAACCAATACTTACCACTACTTAGAAGCCTTAATTCTACCACAAATTCACATCTTTATAGCCAGACCATGCAGTCCTCATATTTAAGTATGGAATCATCCCAAACACCATCAGCACAGGGAAATATTAGCACGCCTGAACCATTCAATCGTAGCATCTACACGCCACCACAGTCATCAAGCCCAAAACATGATACACTACCATCACCACCTCCAGCATTTCATATCAATGACCAAGAGGAATCACCTGAACCTTCTGCATCACCAATTGAATTGATGTCAATATCTCCCATTGCCAGTAGAACAAGAACCAAAACAAAAAAAAAGATCATGTTTGAGGAAATTAATTTGTAAAAAAAAATTACTTGGACATTTTGAATCAAAGTCAGAAAAAAAAAATCATAACTATTGAATTAATTATTATGTCTTTCGATAAAAAAAAGACCATAATTGTCTTAATATTTTGTAGTGTATCAGTTTGTTCAAGAAAGAAAAATAGCAACAACAAAAAATCAGAAATACTACTACTCTGGAATTGGTAAATGTAAAATTTGGAAAAACACCATTATTACAAAATAATAAGAGATAATAAAGATGTGTTTAAATGTATATTCCAGTAAATGTTTATAAATATTTTGTTTGTTTTACATATAAAGAATCTCAATCTATGCAATATTAGTATATATATTTTTTAACTGTGCACATGTGTTCATATACAATTATTTAGAAGTAGTTTTTAATCCCTGCATTTTTTTAGATTGGTTTTATACCTATGAAATTGTTTAATTTAAAATACCTCCTTTAAAAAATTATGATATTGTTATGTTTTTATCAAATTTTATTCAACTTCCTGATGTATTTTTTGACAAAAATCCAAATGTGAAGTGTTGTTATAGAAAAGCTGAAATACCTCCCTTTAAAAAGATTTATGATGTTTATATATATATATATATATTCAAATTTTATACAGTTATTGTTGAAACTACTGCATTTCATACTACAAATTCCAAACAAGTTGTTTTATTGTCATTTTTTATATTCATGAAGGTTTAGACTACACATTCCAAATAGGCTGTTTTGTTGTCAATTTTTATTTTCATGAATGTTTAGACTACAATTCCAAATAGGTTGTTTTGTTGTCAATTTTTATGTCCATGAAGGTTTAGCCTACAATTCCAAATAGGTTGTTTTGTTGTCAATTTTTATATTCATGAAGGTTTAGACTACAAATTCTAAATAGGTTTGTTTTATTGTCAACTTTTATATTCATTAGGGTTTAGAAAAGCATGTCTGTCATTATTATTAGATTAGATTTACAGTAGATGTAGCATTTTTCCCATTGTTGAATCTAGATTTTTGTTGTAGTTGATTTTTTTGTTTTAATTTAGATATGCAGTTTAGAAAAAAAAATGTCAGTCATTTTTACTAGATTTAATTTACAGTAGATGTAGTTATTTTTTTTACATTGTTAAATCTAAATTTTTGTTTTTAATTTAGATATTCAATTGTGTGTATTAACTAGTCATTTTGTATTTGTGCCAATGAATTTTATTTACAAAACACTCAATATATGTGCCATTAATAGCATTATTACAATACATCATAAATTAGGTAAACTTATAGAAATCTTAAAACATGCATACCCCCCTTTTTACTTTTTCATAAATATCACATATCATGTTTATATGTGCCTATAAACTGTGATAAATTTATTTTAAATACAACACTAAATAGCTGTATTGTTTGCTCATTATATGTGACCATATTATGTAGTTCTACTTATTATTTTAAAAAAAATAATACTTATGGTGCTTATTTGAACAATACTCTTTTTTTTTTAATATTTGTTATAGATGCATTTCTTTATAATGTAGATCATTGATAAATTTTTTTATTGTCTAGTTTTATACTTATGATGTTATTATTATTATGTTTTTATAAAATTTTATATACCATTATTATTAAACTACCTCATTTCATTGCTGATGGTTTTTTTGGACAAAAATTCAAATGCAAAGTGTTGTTGCCACTTCTGTTATATAAAATTTATACACTGTTATTGTTTAAACTACTGCATTTTATACAGATTATGACATTATGTACCTTATTTAATTCCTCTGATGTTTTTACTACAAATTCCAGATGTGAAATGTTTTTGAAAGAACCGAAATATATCCCATATCAAGAACACTTTGATATCATTGTTTTTGTTTGAATGTTTTAATACACTATTAATGTTAAACTACTACATTTTAATCCAAATGCTTTCATACAGAAATCCAAATCCAAATCTGGTGTTGATTTAATATGATCATTTTAAATACTTTTTTTTGTTTTTGTTGTTGTTGTATATTTTGTTATAATTACTGTTTCAAATAATAAAAATGTTTATTAAATGTTTTTCTTTTCACTAAGCAGCTGTTGATGTCAGGGGAGGAGGGTCTTAATTTGTGGTAAAAAAGGTTTAGATTTTTTTTGTATGAGATATGAAGGGAGTAAATGTACATGAGACAAAATACACAATAAATACAGGAAAAAAACAAAACACTGAAACAATGTCTTTATTGTAATTCTATTACAGTCACCATGAGGCCTAACAATGAGCATTTACACTTTTATGATGGTACATCTTTGCATGTACAATATCATGACAAAACCAATGTGTCTTGCAATGTCCTTTGTTAGATTTTTTTTTTTTTTTTTTAACTAACCAGTTTGAAATAAACTCCAACATATTGACTTTAAATTCTATTATTTTTTTTTCTTGCTGACAAACATGAGTGGGCGTATGAGATCAAAATTCAACATTAATGAAAGAAAAAAGAGTGACTCTTATTACACCTTAGTAAAGCACAAAGAAGATATGATAGGGAAATATAAATATTAATCAGTCAGTCCACCCATATAAACAGGCTTTAGGTACAAACTAGACTGTTGTTCACTTTAGACCTTTTTTTTTTGAAAACATAGACAACAAAAATACCACATTAATACACGTGATGTCATTACTTGTGTCCTTAATAATAACATTAGTAACATTTTTTTTTTATCATAGTGAATTAGAGTTTTGTTCAGGACACATCAAAATGGAAAAAATTGTTGAAGAGGAAACTGACAGTTTGGCCATTCCTATGGCATACTCACACCCGAGCATGAGATCTAGTATTAGTTCTTTGTTTAGGAACTATGACATTCATTTCGACATTTTGAAAATGACAGGAATTTTGGTACTTTTATCTATAATGAGTGCTACTTTGGCAATGATCCATCATATTTATGCTTGTGACAATTCTCAAAACAGAACTGATTGTCTTCCATTATTCACTACTGACTCTTTGGACCAACAACAAAATTTTAGTTTGTGTACTTACATGAAACAATTTCAATTACCAGGACATTACTATGTCACAATATGTACCTATCAAGCAGACATCAGAGTTGATGTCCGAATGTATCTTAATGATAGACCTACAATCAAAGGATTCTTTCTGAACACAAATCAATATGAATATTTAAAAAGGTTGATACCACATATTGACAAATCTATAAGCAACGCAAGAGCAAGAATAGGACAATGATAAAAGAGAACCTGGTGGAATTTTCATGTACTATATACTTTTATGTATATATATATATATATATATATATAGGAAATAATCATATAACTATAGATCAGACTGATATCGCTATGAGTGACGAAAAGACGCTTCTCCCCTTTTCTTCCCCGACAACACTGTATATTGCCGGTCCGACGCAATCTGGAAAATCGATGTTCACCAAAAAACTCATCGAGAATGCTTCAAAAATGTTTACGGAAACACCAGATAGAATCTTGTATGCTTATTCCGAATATCAGACATTGTTCGACGACATGCAGAATATTCCAAATTTAACTTTTCAAGAAGGACTACTAGACAAACAGGAAATAGACGAGTTTACCCTAAATACGAAACATGCTTTAATTATACTCGATGATTTAGTATCTAAAATTGTGCAATCCTCCGACCAATTGCATTTGTTTTCTGTAACCAGTCACCACAAAAAGGCATCAGTGGTGCTGATTTCTCAATCTTTGTATCCGCCAGGGAAGTTTTCGAAAAGTATATCCCTGAACTGTGCTAATTTTGTCTTGTTTCGTAATCCACGAGATATGCGTCAATTGACAACATTTGCCTCTCAGATACTTCCTGGCATGACAAAATATTTTAATGATTCTTATAGGAGGGCAACTCGGGAAAGATTTAACTACCTTTTTGTCGACCTGTCGAATCAAAGAGAGGACAGAGAAAAGTTTATGTTACGCACGGGAATTTTCCCCAACGATACTTGTGTGGTTTACAGACCAGTATAAAATAGACACCAACCCATCTTGACTTTTAATTCTGTTTTTGCTGACAAACATGAGCGGTCGTATGAGATCCAACTCAGTGTTATTGAAGTTTCTGTACAAGACAAACAAAAAGCAAAGAGTGACTGTCTTATCACACCTTAGTAAAGCAGAAATAGAAGTTTTTTCTGAGATAGCTCAGAACATTTATAAAGGAGTGTTTCCAAACAAAACGAAATACGTGAACACTTTAAAACCGTTTAAATCGATCGTTTTCAGACTGGGATCAAAGTCGGTGAGTAGTCAAAAGAAGAAGAAAATTCTGATCCGATACCAAAAAATAATTCCACTCTTAATACGACCTGTTTTGGAATTTCTGTAGCACGATCATAATGGCTAAAGAACTGATATTATTAGCAAAGAGAAAATACGAAGAATTATTGGCATCGCAACCTTCAGCTAATGAAGACAATCAAGAAGACATGAAATATTCATCTGACCCTCCAGTAGATGTTTCAACACAAATTGGAAACGGCTTATTTGTTGAAAAAAAATGATGATATTTATGCAGGCACGCCTGGAGTTCTCGAACATCCCTCACCTAAAATAAAAAATGCGAGACGGAGAAAGAAAAACGTAAAATGGATACCGTATTGACTCTATTTTTTTTTGTGTATCTGTGTAAAATAGTAATAATAAAACAATAGAAATTGACAAGTATTTTATTTATTCGCTACAATAACCAAACGGTAAAGTACTAAAGTCATTCAAGAGCCGTCTCTTGGTGTACACCATTTTGTATTCTTTTTGCTCTGGTCTGTTATACAATTTTCGTTTGCAACCAAGTCTAGAAATTTTTCGGGGATTAGTGGTTAGGATCGAATTTCTGTTTTTGTCAACTACAATATCTCTAATCGCCGAAAAATTGATAAGCTCTTCATTCGCTTTAGTTTGGAGAGAAAATCCTCTTACTTTACACTTTTCCTTTCCTGATACCATCCTGTAGGCGTAATTTTTAGGGCCACCGGATACGAAATGAGTAATATACCCGTCTTCAGTCGAAATTTCGTTGGTCAGTTCACCCTAGTAGTTTCCTATCGGTAGTGTATTTGTGATTTGTTTGTTTCTATCTACAAATATGACGGAATCAGTATCCACGTAAAGAGTGTTCTCGTCCGTCTTCTCGAGTACTTTATAGAGACTAATTCTAGCCCAACAAGTGGTAAAAGAGGCAATAAACACGTTGGTTTTGTAGTCTATAGGTATGAAAGACGGGTAATCGAAATGTTCCGTCTGTACGGTATTTTCATTGATGATGTGAAAGTCCCTTACGTCCTTTTTTGGATCTGAAAGTAACTGAAAGAATTTTTCGGCTGCATTTTCGGTAAAAAATGTGGTCTGTTTCATGTTTAACCGTTGTCCAAACTTTCCCCAAAAACTATTCAAACAAATTTTGGCGAGGCTACGAAGACCTGGATTTTTTCTTATTTGATCGTAATCCAAGAGAATTTCTTCCTTTTGGGCATAGTCTGCTATGTAATCCATCTTTTGTTGTTCCGTTTCACACTCTGAGGGAAATCCGGAAGCTTCCTGTTTTAATTTCAAAAACAAATTAACATACCCGTCAAAAAGACCACCTTTCCCTGTTTGTCTGTCGTAGATTTTGGTTTCTGCGAAATCATATATTTCATAAATTTTGAGTATTCGATACCCTTTTGAACGAGCCAATTCTAACTCCGGTGTACACCAAGTTCCTATCATAGATCTGTTTGAATCTGTACATATACAACTACGCTGATTTTCTGTATCTGCACATTGTTTACATAAAGGAAACTTTAATTTTCCGTTCGATAAGGACGGTAAAACAGGATGGTACAGACGTCTCGGTGGAAGAACTTTCACCTTTGCGATACCGAAATAATGTGAGAGATCGGAGAAATTGGACGTGACAATGGTTGGATGTCCGATAGGATATTTTGCATGTTTATTAACGCTAGGATACAAACTGTAAGAAAAAGAAAAAAGGAGATAGGGTTACAGACATATAGGTTATTATTTTCTTTTCTTTTTTTTTCTTTCTTTTATTTACCAACTTAAAAACTCTTTTAAAGATAAAGGGGGTGTGAATTTGAGTTAATAGTTTACCACCAGTCGAGTAGTCAACACGTTGACATGAAATATCAATGCTATTGTCATATTTTTTTAAAAATAAATTTACTGTTTGATTGAAAACTATAAATTATTCAAAATACTAAGGATTTTTCTACCTTCAGACACAGATTACTGTAGCCATATTTGGCACATAACCTTTTTGGAATTTTTTTTTTTGGTCCACAATGGCTCTTCAACTTTGCCTTTTTTTTTGTTGGTCTTTTCAATTATTTCCGCTTCTAGCGTCACTTATGGAGTCTTATATATATATATATATATACGAAACGCGGGTGTCTGGTGGTGTAGTAAAAAAATTATAAGCCTGATTAGTATTTTACCTCGTAAAATCGTAATATTCAATCGTCTCCCCAGGTTCCGTGGTTTCATGGTACAATCTTGTGGCATTTGTTCTTCCACCGAAAAAACTGTCTCTCGGGTCAAGGCGATCAGTTACCTCGATAGAAGACACATCAGCTCTAATTTCCTCATCTTGCTCCAGTTGTTCCATAAACTCATGTTCCCAGACACTGACGTATTCGTACCCTCGACGTTTTAATTCCGTTTCTTTGTTTTTGGTAAGGTAGTATAGTTCGTTGAGAGAGTGTTTGGTGAGAGGATCGGTGGTACGTGTTCTTTCGTGTGGAAAACAGGACGGACAACCATGGAAACGACATCCTTGAAAAATAAATAAATAAAAAATTATAAAAAAAAAAACTTCCCGCGACTCATTAAAAAAAAAAGACCGCGCCGCGGACTGGAAGACCGCGGGCGCGCGCGCGCCGCCGCCGCGGTTTTCAACACATCCAAAAACACACACACACACAAAACAAAACAAACAAAAACACACACACAAATAAACAAACACACACAAACAAACAAACAAACTCACCGTGAAATTCGTATGCTATCCTTCTTGTA